GAAATTTATTTTAATTAAAAATAAAACATATTCTGTTGATAATTTTTCAAATTAAAAAAATAGAAAATAATTTGATTAAATTACTAACGGATTAACTATAAAATTTAACTAAATACATAATTAATTAAAAATCATCGCTAGTGTTTGTTAGTATATATGCATGGATTAGTTATATCTAATTTATGGCTGACTTGTCCACCGTCAAGCGCTCTAACATAATAACATGTTAATAAGTGTGAAAGATCGTACTTGAATCTTGTCGGTGATATCATTTCACTGACAGTTTAGCGACGAATTTTAGTTAATTATGTATTTAGTTAAATTTTATCGTTAATCTGTCAGTAATTTAATCAAATAATTTTATATTTTTTTAATTTAAAAAATACTAATGGAATACATTTTATTTTTAATTAAAATAAATTTAATCAATAATCTTTTTTAAATTTTTTTTTTTAATTTGAAAAATCACTGACAAAAAATATTTTATTTTTAATTAAAATATATTTTATCAATAATCTTTTTTAAATGTAAGTTTCTTTTGTAAATGTAAGTATTTGTTTGGTATATTTATTTCATTTTATAGGTGTAAGTATTTTTTTATTTAAAAAATGTTTAGAGACATAATCGTTCAAAATATGAAAGTTTATTGGTTTTTTTTTTCCAGATTTTAACCATTTGTTTAGATCATAAGAATGTATCTAACAGGTTTTTGATTGTCCAAATACTTATTTGTTCCAAAAAATTGTCCAAAAACTTAATCATTTCAAACACCAAAGTCCATTGGATTTTGTAGACTTTTCCAAAAAAAACCAACTATTACAACTGCCCAATAAGCCGCTTTGTGTTTTTGTATTTGATGTTGTAAGTTGTATGCATTTCATTTAATTATTTTTGTACATTCTTATGAGGGTTTTGTTGGACCTTAAAAGATAAATTCGGTTAATTAAATATTCAAGGTCTTAATTAGATATTATTAGATTAATATGTTTTATTATTGTTAAATTATGTAGTGGAATGCAACGGTTATCAAGATTAAACTGCATATAAGAAGTTAAGTGTCTAGATACATTGTATGCGGTTGGGGGTGTGATAACCGAACCATCATGATGGTTCAGTGGTGTCTGTTCGCTGCATATATATATATATATATATATATATATATATATATATAGGTGGAGGTTCAAACGAGAACCCCTGTGATTTACGAAAACGCGAGAACAACTCAATAACCACAAACTTTTTTAATT